GTTAATGGAAATTCTTGCTTTGCTTTATTATCACCATTACAAATGATTAATTCGACGCGAACGAAGTCGCTGGTACACGCTAGTATTTATACAGGGTGTTTCAAAACAAATGCGAAAAACTTTAGTGGGTGATTCCTTGTTCAAAATAAAGGGTAGTTTGCTTTATAAACGTTGGGTCAAAAGTCAACCATTAGGGAGATATCGCGGTACAAAGATGGCGGAAAAATAACGTTTTTATTTTTTATCTTGAAAACAAAAAGAGATAGACTAATAATGAAAAATCTTATCAAACACATGCTAAAAAATTAATTTGGATAGTTTAGTTTGTTTAGAAACTTTTTTATCTCTTGTGTTTTTTTGATAAAACTCACCGATTTGAAATTAAAAATAAAATGTAAACATTACATGCCAGGACAAAAACATTTTCTGATAAAAGAATCTAGTGGGCTGCTGTAATTTTTTTTAGAAAAAATCTAGTCGGCCGCTGTGACTTTTTAGGATGTTCTAATATTATTTTGTTGACATTGCTCTACTGCAATACGTTATTATCTAGATGATTATTATTATATCGTTATTATCACTAGATTCTTAATCCTAAAATGTTTTTGTCCTGACATGTAATGCTTTACATTCTATTTTTAATTTCAAATCCGGTGAGTTTTATCAAAAAAACACAAGGATAAAAGTTTCTAAACAAACTAAACTATCAAATTAATTTTTTGGCATGTGTTTGATAAGATTTTCTTTAGAATTTCGTTAACAAGAATGATAGGGAGTAGTTTATTCCAACCCCTTCCACTCATTTAAAAAAGTAAAAAAATTACCAGAAAGTGTGTTTTCATAACAGTAATGCTTCCATAAAATTTCATTAGTCTATCTCTTTTTTGTTTCAAGATAATAACAATGTTATCCCTCCATCTTCTGACTAATTAACTGACCCATTGTTTATGAAGCAAACTACTCTTTATATTGAACAAGGAATCACCTAAAGTTTATTACAAACACCACAATATAGATCTAAAGTGGCGCACCTATACCTATAACTTTTCTATTTTTTTCAGATAAAAAAGCGAGATTTAGTATATTAGTATACTTTCAGTGTCTTGCTAGTAATTACTACAACTTTTGTTTTTACATAGCACCCTCCGTATTTTTTACTTTATTCTATTTAAATATTATTATATTTAAATATATGTTTAAGTCTATGATTTCGACTGTACTGGAAAAAACATATAACCGAAATATGATATATCGTTAATTTCACTTAAATGTGATTCAATATGCGTCTTCATGGCACGTTCTAAAACAAGAACCACTCGATTTGACCTCATTCTTCTCTGAAATTACCCTTCTGGCAACAGTCCACGTCGATTATCTTGTTTTGGTCCAGGCCTACACTGGAACAATGTCGCCAACAACATTTGTACAGATAATTAATTACCTTTTGGACATTTCTGACTAAAAAAGTATAAATAAACCTGACGCCTCTTTGATGTCCACTATTTCGCGACTGTCGATTATTCATTTTAATTTTTTTTTGTAATAAAAGTCGGAATCTTTAAATTGATATCGTTATAGAATCGTTCACCTAGCCGCTATTTTATTTTCAGGATGAATGTGTTTTTTCTGTCTAAAAATAAACAGTTTGAAATTTGTCAAAACAATAGTTAAAATACGTTTCCTTTGTTTCGATTCTGAGGAAAAACAGGAAAAAAGCATTTGGTGTTTTTTTGCAATTAAATTTATGATGATTAGATTTTTGGGCGAGCGTCAATGTTTCTTCTTTATCAAACGAAATTAAATTAAGATATCCCTACGAGAGATGGCACATGCTTTTTGAAACACCCTGTAGACAGATAAAAAAATCTTTTCCAGACTTTTCCAGATTTTTTCTCGAATTTTAAACTAGGTACACCATTTAAAAATAATTCTTACTCAATTTAAAAATAAATTAGAACCTTCATAAGACTAACTGGCAGTAAGGACCATTAAAAATAAAGTGTAGTATAGTCTGTCCAACGAGAAGATCCTTGACAGTGATAGATGGGTCTGTCATTTTAATTTCAAAGTAGTTTATTTTAGTTTACAAAGAAATAAGTTTTTTTTTAAATATTTATTTTAACAGGAAATATTTAAAATTTGATTGACAAGATGACGAATTTTGAATGATATTTTGAGTAGTTACTTCAAAGTATTGTGAAAAAAAAAACTGTATAAAACTGAAAAATGTAATCGAGTTGTTTTGTTTAATAAAAATGGTATGTGTTAATACAAAACAAACAAGAACAAGACACTACATGCCAAAAATGTAAAAGAACTATTATTTACTTTCAAGCTTTATGAAACTACCAGCATTTATGATTATATTTATCAATATAACATGTACAAATACAAATTTGTAATATTCCACAGGAATAAATAAAACAACATAAATTAAAAACAAACTATTTTATTAATAATAGCACCTACCAAATTTTATACCTTAAGGAGTTGATTAATTAACTTTTAATCTTAATTTTTTAAAAAAAAAAAAAAAACATTATTTTTCTGCAGTACTAAAATCCATTTATTTACCTATCGTGTGATGTCGATATTTACAGCTACTCCAGTTTTAGTATGTGTTTTGTTTGATCCTTCTACCATATACTAGATGCACTATCTACGACGATCTGGTATGGTATACAAGCTTTATCGATGGCAACTTCATTGGTGTATAAGACAAGACTTTCTGCCTGGGCAGCGAGTATTTAACCATAAACTGTGCTCTGGGTCTACGGTTAATTTTCACTCGATTTATCCTCCACTTGACTTCAAAAGACACAAAACACACGTAATAATACGAATCAAATGCATCATCTTCCAAAACGCAGAATATTTAACAAAAGTTAAAAAAGGTATAACCTTACCTATAATTTGTAGGGCACGACAAGCATCAAAATGACCAAAATCTGAAGGCGAGTTCATACGCATCGGCGTCCGTTTGTCGTTCATCGTTCCGTCGACCAATAAAATTGAAATACGATCTGTCATTTTTTTAAAATAAACCAATAAAACTGGTTAAAAACAGCAAAACACGACGTCCTGACGGATTTATATTTAAACCCATCCATAGATAACTTAAAAATTATTAGAAACTTTTTAGTAAAATAAATAGATTGGTATGGGACGTCATCTGCTTTTCTTCTGTCATCGTCTGTCGAAATCTTACCTGAGAAAAAAACAGAGTATACAGGCGAAGTAAATCACATCTAGGGTCTGACCTCGCCAAAATTATCATCGATTTTATTCATTATCATTCACCAGCCTTCTTTGACGCTTTTTTTTCGATCATATGGTATAATAATGATATTATATCATCGAAAAAAAAGCGTCAAAGAAGGCTGGTGAATGATAATGAATAAAATCGATGATAATTTTGGCGAGGTCAGACCCTAGATGTGATTTACTTCGCCCGTACTGCACTTTATTTTTAATGGTCCTCACTGCCAGTTAGACTTATGAAGGTTCTAATTTATTTTTAAATTGAGTAAAAATTATTTTTAAATGGTGTACCTAGTTTAAAATTCGAGAAAAAATCTGGAAAAGTCTGGAAAAGATTTTTTTATCTGTCTACAGGGTGTTTCAAAAAGCATGTGTCATCTCTCGTAGGGATATCTTAATTTAATTTCGTTTGATTCTTTCTTGTAAGAGATTAATTTTCTTGCAAAAAACCTCATAGACGTGTTTTCTGGGGTCGAAATATACTAATAACCCTAAAAATATTTGCACTTGTTTAAGGCTGACCCTGTATAACATAGAGTAGAATCTGTCATAACAATAGAGTAGATAAGTCAGAGGCGTAACAAAAACAAATAAAATAATATCCGGGTGCGTGTCAAAAGTGGTTCACCCCTATACCTTTTTTATTTTTTTGAATAAAAAGACGATATTTGGTATATAAGTATATGACATAAATTAGGATTGATTGACGTATTGAATTGTTTTTGGTCACTTCCCGTTTCACCGGAAATGACTACAACTTTTGATTTTTAAATGGTACCCTGGGTATATTTTCACTTTATTCGATAGAAAATGACATTCTGAATACAATGACATATCATATGTCAACTTTTGACATTTTCGTTTAAAAAAAATCGTATTTTAAAATTCAATCTAGAGTACTATGGCTGTCTTAAAAACACTAATTTTTAATTAAGGAGCCCTGGAAATATACATTTGATCGTCTAATGTTTTTCGTGTCTTATACTGACCGGTTAAAAGTTGCGCAAATCGTATTTTTAATTATATCTCAATTTTTTCAAATGGAACAAGGGTGGCTCATTAGCATATTTGGAAAAAAAAACATTTTTTTACGAATAATTTGATACCATGACACACTTACCGCATGTTACAATTTCAAATAACCTATATACGAAACTGTCAAAAGTTGACATATGATATATCATTATATTCAGAGTGTCATTTTTTATCGAATAAAGTAAAAAATACCGAAGGTGTCATTTAAAAATCATAAGTTCTAGTCATTTCCGGTGAACCAGGAAATCACCAAAAGCAACTGAATACGTCAATCAATCCTAATTTATGTCATATACTCAACATACCATATCTCGTTTTTTTATCTGAAAAAATAAAAATGTTTTAAGGGTGAGCCACTTTTAAGATGCACCCGGTATAATAAAAGAAAATTTAGTTAATTTACATAGGCATCTGGGTTGGTGGAGACATTTAAAATAGATAAATCATCAACGGGTAGAGCATAGAATTAGACATATAAGTATATGTGAAGTGGTTTTCCGAAAACACTTTTTCGAGAATTCTAAATAAATTTACCTGTTAATGTGTTCTGATAAATGTTTACAAATAACCTGTTCAAAAATCGTATCGTAATTCCTGGCAAAAACATTTAAAATCTTCTCAGAACACACGAAACTTTCAAAAAATGACATTACAGTTTTTTCTGGAAAACAGAGTAAGCGCAGTTTTGAGGGAAAAAAATGTTCGTCCCCGACATCGAACACCCTGTATACCAACCTAATTTCGTACGTTTGGTAAACCGCTACCGAAAATATCTCACATCGTCCCAAACTCTAAATATAATCGCACTAAATATACATTTCCGATGAGGCAGACACCGCCACCGTCGATAATTTTTAGTTTTTGCGCCATGCCTTTTCGGTGAACGTCGCCCGAACGAAAAAAACACGCGAAACGTCGTACTTCATTTTTCTCTCTTGTTTTGAATAATGACGAATTAGCGGTGAATTGTGTTATTTCGAGACAAGTTACGCCACTGGTGACGTATGGAGGAGCCCAAGGACGCGTCCGATGGCGACATCAAACCGCCCAGCCCGGTCCTAACCTCAAAAATCGAGAAGAACGGTCCGGGAAGGCCGAAATTTCGAGGCCCAAAGGTGCGCAGGCGCGAAAGAAAGTCTCTCGGTGACACGGTCAAGTGCACGAAAATAATCGAGGTCCTTGATCCCCAAACATCGCACGTGGTGGCCAGGAAGTCGATAGCCGGTACTGATAAACTGTTCTTCCTCAAAATCTTCTCGATCACTCACGTCATCGCAACTTACCAGCTGCACATCCTCCAATTCCGAAAGGACTATGGTCAGATAAAGCGCTTGATCAAGGTCTGTATGTGCGAGTTGATCCTGATCATGATTCTGTGCGGTTTGGGAGGGCTCACCTTCAAGTATGTCGAGGGTAATTTTGAGACTTTTTACAAATGCGGTGTGAAGAGAGTCAAAAGGGACTTTATAGATTTGCTTTGGACGAAGAGTCACAATTTGAGGGAGGAGGATTGGAAGTCTTTGGCCAGAGCTAGGTTGAGGTCCTTCGAGGAAGAACTGCACAATGCGCACGAAGCTGGCATGACTGATTATAGTGGGCAGAGGTCGTGGAGCTTCTTGAATGGAATAGTTTATTCGTTAACTGTCATTACGACAATTGGTAAGACTGTGTGTGTGCTTTGGAAAGCCTGCAAAATTTTTACTTTTACAAGTATTTTTCTTAAAATGTAATCTAAAAAAAAATTAGGAAACATGAATAACATCCTTAAAAATTATGATAAATAGGATTAATCTAATTTATAAAATTCTGGTGTCAGAGTTTTAGATATCATACTCCTCCGAAACGGCTTGGCCGATTTTGATGAAATTTTATATGTATATTCAGTAGGTCTGAGAATAGGTTGCTATGTATTTTTAGTACCCCTAAGTGATAAGGATGGTCCATATCAATTTTTTTTTGAAAAAATTTTTGAAGTGAAACTTGTTTACGCGTCTTCGGAGTAAAAATTCAAGGCCGTGACGCTCGGCCTTGAATGACGGCCGCCGTGACGCGCGAGACGAAAAGTGATAGCGGCAGTATTGCCACAGCTACCCCGTTGAGGGTAGATCTACGTTAGTATTAATCCGGTATATGGTGGAGATAAACAATTGTGATTGATTAAGATTTTATTTTAAGATGAAACTTTTGTTAACAACATTCTGAGAATTCGAATAATGAATTTAATAATGACAAGATAAGTGACATCTGTCTAAAAAAGACAGCGATTTAGTGTAACAATTTGGTTATGTAAAATTTAGAGTGACAATTTTGATTATGCAAAAGAAATACATATTCTGTGAGTTTGCCTAACAATAAACAATAATTTAAAAATAAATCCCGGACATGAATAACGAACAAAAAACATTTAAACAAAAGCAGACACAGACCAAACAAAACAAATTGTTGGTTTTTAAAATCTCGGTTTTAAGTCAGTAGTGAATAAAACGAAACTTGTGTTTACATTTTGTTTAATGATTGACGTTTCGACCAATTTTAATTCGGTCTTCTTCAGAATCTATAATATACAATACAATTTTATCACTAACAATGTGTTTAATATATCATTTTTTCTTACCACAAACGTAGAAAATTATTTATACGTATATTATAGATTCTGAAGAAGACCGAATTAAAATTGGTCGAAACGTCAATTATTAAACAAAATGTAAACACAAGTTTCGTTTTATTTACTACTGACTTAAAACAAAGATTTTAAAAACTTAAAATAAAAGCTATATATAAATGTTTGTAATGAAACTTATTTAGATTACAAAACTAAAAATAGAAGTTTTATTTGACTATTTTTCATATCTAGCTTTGTTTTTATTAAACCCTTTTGAATGATACCAAATTTGTTAAAATCTGTCAAGCTAAGAGTCATGTAGTACATTTTATCCCCATCTTCCACTCTATTTCACTAATTTTATGTGGTTTGTTAAGATCTAAATATATTAATGTGTGTTTGGTTAAGATCTAAATAATATTAATTTCCATCATAAAGCATAAAATATAGAAAGTTGCATAAAAATATAAATAGTAATAATACTTTATAATTTTTTGAAATGCCGAATGAATTTGACTAAATTTGAAAAAACTTCTCCTCGTCTATGCTCAAATTTATGCTGGTGACGTACTCTCGACCGTCGATCGTGCGACTCGTGCGCGGCTACAATCGACTTTCCGACCGTTCGTGTCGGTCGCGCCGCTCGCTCGCGCCGATACCCCTTCAGTGCGCGCGGAACTTTATACGGAAATTGTATTTATATTTACTTAGATGTACTTAAACAGACGTTAAACGGTAGCCTACTAAAATGCCATTGATAGATATTGTGACGTCGTTCATGTCGGCGGAAAGTAATGCCTAGCCTTAAGCATTTTGCAAGAGCACCTGTGGGTCAGTGGCTGAGGCTATCGCTTCGTAAGCGAATGGTCCATGGTTCAAATCTCACGCCGACCAAAACTTTTTTATGTTTTTTTTTGCTTATAGCGTGATCTTATTGCATTGGTTTCACACTTTTTGGTTGGATTGGTTTAGTTATTTGGCGGGTTGGTTAGCGTGGTTATTTAGAGGGTGTTAATTCATTGGTTAGTTGGTTATTTGGTGGGGTTGGTTGATTTTTACCAATGTATATTTGTTTTTTTATATTTTTTATCAGTGTCTAGGTTAGTTGCGTTGGTTATTTGGTGGGGTGGATAGCGTTGGTTAGTCCTTATAAAATTACTATATTTCATAAAGTGCGTCACATCAACGACGTCATACCTATTAACAGCATTTTAGTAAGCTACCGTTTAACGGCAGTTAAGTACAGCCTTATATTTATAGTGGCTAATAAGTTATAGATAGGTACAGAAAAGGATACAATTATCACTAACTTTGTTAAATTGTATGGTAATTACAAAATGCAATAGCGCCGGACCCCGGGACGAATATTTTGTTAAAAAAGTAAAAGGAAGTCCATTTTAAAAAAAATCATTCCTCGGCCTACTATACCACCCAACGGTACTATTCTTGGTGATGGTTAATATTTAATAATTATTTTTTTTATTTACAGGTTATGGGCATATGTTTCCCAAAACGCACACTGGACGAGCCTTGACCATCGTGTATGCCCTCATCGGAATTCCGCTTTTCCTTATTGCCTTGACGGATTTTGGAAAACTTTTTACCAGGGGCATTAAGTTTCTGTGGTCCTTTGTCCGAAGACTATACTATACAGGGAGTTGTCGAAGAGTACGAAAAACTACAGGCGTCGACGTAAGTAATTAAACCTTCTAAATAATAGGGTAAACGGAATAAAAAGATAAATAATTAAAAATATACCTAAAAATATAAAGAAGTCCGTTAAAATCAGTTGATAATAATGAGAGAAAAATTTAATGAAAACTATCTGGTAAAAATATCCACCGGCGAAATTCTAGTACTCCAAGAGAGCTCTCAACGAAAAACTAGTTACGCCACTGGATTTACGTGAAAAACTATGTGTCTCATTATTCAATTGTTCCATAAGTTATAAGATAACCGAGATACGAGAGGAGTCGAAAAATGCAATAATTTGAAATTCACAATGTACTTTAGGAACTAAGAGGTCTACGGTAAATATGTGTATAGCATCTTTGGTTTCATAAAAAAGTAGTAGTTATGTGAAAGCCGCATCTGTGTATTTCTACTCATAAACGACAAACCCCATAAAACACATGAAAATGGGATACCCTGTACAAAATATGGGCTGTTTACCCCACAACGAATAGTCAGTCAGAATCAGTGACACACTGTACCTACAAGCCCATTTTTTATGAAATATTATATAATAGTATTTTAATTATTAACAGATACATATTGCGTATTACACTTTTTTATCTCGTAGTTATATATCCAGGCAAATATCCGGTCTAATCAGCTAGAAAGTTAATAGTTTAATCAACTAGTATTAATTGCACCGGATATCCGTGGCATTTGTAATTTAAATATTTTACAACAGTAATTGCAATGTTTGAAAATATGTACCTAAAGAAACTATAGTCAGATGATATACAGTGCTTTTATTTTAACTGTGAACATAGGCGTCAATCATTGTAATTTGTAAATCACTACCCTGTTGTCAGTCCATAACTAACCTTTTATCATCCCTTGATCAAATACAGACTGGCAATACTGTGTTTTCGCCGAAAAATTAATAGAATGAAATAAAATTCAAACTATTTTTTTTCATCGAAATTTAAGATTTTTGGTAATTTTTTCAGCTAGAACTATTTTTAGCTAAACAAAAAAAGTATTTTTAAAACAAAAAATATTATTTGGTGTGTGAGTGGCATACCATTAACTCGAATGCATTGACTGTTCCACTTTGAAAATGAACATACTTAGCAGAATAGCATTGCTCTGTGTTAAGTCCTATGTTCACAGCTATGGTTCACAGTTAAAATAAAAGCATGGTATAGTCTGGTAGGTACAGTATTAAAAATTATAAAGAATTTGCGATTTTATAATTTTAGGAGAGTTTATCTAAATTGTACAGAAACTGTATGCACACAGAGAAAGCAACAATTAAAAAACTAAAACTGTTTTCACATCATGCCTCAATGCAAATTTAATACGCTAGGCTGGTATAGGCTGATATATAGGCTCGATGATAAATAAGATATTATTAGTGAATTTTGGGCCAAGGAATGTTTGCCCGGTTTTTTTTTATCTGAAATATGACAAAATTCAAACAAGCTCCAAAATGTGATAGCTGTTGCTGTTGATTCTAACTTTTAAATGAACTTTGAATAATAAAAAAAATGAATTGTAGCCGAAAACTACTAACTCTACGAAAAAAATGAATTGTAGCCGAAAACTACTAACTCTACGTAAAAAATGATAAGAACTATTTTTGTAGGTAATTACCTAAGGTTCATTTTTTATTTCAAGAAAAATTTTGTAAATTATCTTAGCAGATATTTGTGAAAAACTGATTTGTTGGGCTAAAACTTGACCGAGCACGGTGTTACAATTTTCCCCCTCAAACTACTCCCTAAAAGGCACACAATCTGCCTGAAAAGTCCCGGTCGACGAATTAGGCCGTGGTTTCAACCATCATTTACTAGACTAATACTTTTATTTTAATTTTACAATACTTTTAATAACAGGATGTATATTTTTAGGACATATTTAAAGGAGCCCAGATGATGTACGACGTTGCGACCTTCCGAAGGCCGTCCATGTTCCACAATCCGGAAGAACAAGACCAAGATCCAGAAAACCAAGCACCACCCACCGATACTCCCACAACACCCGCCATATCCAATTTTGAAATCGACGACGAATTCAACTTACCCATATCGGTAGCCCTTTTCATTTTGGTGGCCTATATTTTCTGCGGCGCCTGTATCTACATGGTCATTGAAAACTGGCGGTTCTTCGAGGCGTTCTACTTCGTGTTCATATCCATGTCGACCATAGGTTTCGGCGACTACGTACCAAGATCACCAGCTTTCATGATAATATCTATTATCTATCTGGTCTTCGGACTTGCGTTGATGTCCATGTGCTTCAACGTTGTCCAGGCTAAACTTAGCGACACTTTTAAGCAGGCTTCTGCCAAAATAGGAGCTACAATTGGTTTGGAGGTGGATGAGAATGGTAGCGTGATTACGACGTCTCCCGATAAGCCAGAAGCTCCTCCAATACCAGAACCTGTTGCAGGTTCAAACTCGAAAATGTGATGAAAAAGTACTAAATAAGTCATAGAGAATGAAAAAGGGTTTTGCATACTTTGATAGCCACGTATAGGTACCTCATTACCCTCATATTATGTAAAAAAACTGAAATAAAATTCACAAACCAAAAACGCAATATAGAACTTTTTCGGAAGCCTGAATCACCCTGTATACGGTATTTGATATAAATTACATCTTAATTTAACTTGCATGGCTGAACATTGTTTATAATAGATTTATAAACTAATAATAACTTATAAATGAATTGTACCACTACTAAGTTATTAGTAAAATCCAATTAGACCTATCTACAATACCTAAATAATGTAACAGCGGTTGCTTACATTATGTTTAATATTTTTCTTCCTTTCGAAACAAAATATAAATAGAAAGTTTTTATTTATCGAATTCAGTAAATATTGACAGAAATAAACTTTTTAAATAATTCTATATTTAGCTGGTACTATCAAGGTCGTACTATTGCATATATTTTTCATCATATATCTAGTACAGAAACAGAAACAATTTCATTTTTGGGTTATTTAAATATTTCATTTTAAAAGTGAATAAAACATCGCTGATTGAGTGAGTACATTGTGATAGATTATTTTTATATTTAAACCATCCTATATTAAATCCTTGTATACTTACTTAAATGTATTCATAAAAAAATATTAAATTTTGCAATTTTTTATACATCTAATTCCCCTTGTTGAATGTATAATTGTCTTAAAATAGTGTAAATAATTACTTATCGTAAACAAGTTTATCAGATCAGTCACTGTAAATAGGAGCCTAAATATATTTAGATTTTAAGCATTTTAGACATAATTTTTGTTGTTGAGAAGCTCAATTTTATTATTTACTGTGTTATTCTATGGATATATTGTTTTTTTCAATAAATTTTAAATTTGTAAGAAGATGTATTATTTCAGGTAAAGAAAAACTGTCTAATATCTTTAATTTTATTTAACTTATACCAAAAAAAATTCATAAATTAAAAACACACCCCAAATTATTCATTTTGACACAAAATACTTGAAATAAATTAATAAAACCTTTTCCTATTTCTCTCACTCTGTTTTTGGTAATACATTATTCCAACCACACCAATCACTATTAACATAATCAGTCCAAATACTGTGTATAAAAATATTTTGACACCGGATGTTGATGGCTTGGGATCATCTACATGGTCTCTAGGCTGATCAAAGAATGCAGCCGATGGTATAATATTAGAGCGGTCTTCTTTTGGCTAAAAAAAAATTTAATTAACAAATTAGAGTTAAAAATCATATAATAATTTAATACTAACATCATCTGGAGAATCCAGATCATACAATCTAATAGCCAGAATATCATGAGTATCTGATAAATCACCAGTGCTGGCAGATGCCCCTATGTAATATCCAGTTGGTAACTGTACACCTTCAATTTTAAAGCATTCCCTCCAGGCTGCTTTATTTTCAATATCAGTTGACACTACAAAGAGAAAAATAAATAAAATAGGAACTAATACAAAATTCTATCCATTTTATACCTGTAAGAACATCATTCTCATAGCGAATAGCTATATATGTATCATAATTCAAATTTCTGAATTTCGCTTCACAACCAGCCAATTGTGTATGAGTACCATCACGGTCATGGTCATAATGCATAGTTCCATTATTAATCATAGCCGAAATGTATGGATGTTGATGCTAAATATAATATATTAACAGAATATTTTGATAAATTGAATTAACTTGAAACTCACATTGTGTGGTCCATTGTGGTTGCTATATGTGTCTAAAAATATGGCTAAACCGCTAAAAAAGTCTTTACTACCAAATACTGGCCCATCCTGTAATCGATCTTTAGTGTACCATATAGCAAGTCCATCTCCAAACAAATCTTTATGACCTTTACCATGTACTTTGAACTGTACTTGTAATTCCCAGTTTTTACTCTTTAATGGCTAGAAAAAAAAGCATAGTATATTGTATAATATACTATGCTCTTTTAATATAATAAACAATATAAACTTACCACAGCATTCCAAATAGAGCCCCTTTGACTTTGTTTATCTTCAGTTAATCGTATATGTTGCTGATCAGCAATTACAGTATAACCAGTAATATCCCACTTTGGTACATACATTCCCTCTATAAATAAATAATAATTATTCAATTTATTATATATAAATACTAGTTATTACAAAAGAAACTTACTATAGTAAGGCTTTATTAGAGAATGTTCTTGTCTCATAAAATCTTTGGTGTTCCATTCACATTGCACAGCTTCTAAGATAAAAAATATAAGAAAGCACGTAATGTAATTCGAAAGAGTCATATTATATGTAAGTATTATAATATTTTCTGGGTGTAAACGTTTTAAAGATATGAATAATTCTCTTTAAAATATTTGTCTACTGATAAAAACATCGAAAAACAAGTTGGCTAAGTAGTAATTCTTCTTCTTTCTATTGATTTATGTAGGCGTTGTGTTGAATTATGCCTAAAGCCATGTCATATTGACTAACTTCATCCAGTTTGGAGGCTAACTTCATGCGAATCGAATGCTTGTGACAAATGTCAAATTTTTGTATTCAAAACAAATAAGTACAATTTATAGAAAGTACAAGTTTCCACGAACCGAAAGAAAAAACAATGTGGGTGGGCTTATTGATCATCACAAAATGAGTCTACAAACTGATAATTTATTTCTCAATTGGGATACAATCATTTAAGACGCTTAGAATTGTTTTGAATATCCAAACAATATGGATTCAGTTCCTATATTACTAGTCACCGCAAATGTGGGTTCGATTTTTGACGATGTAAGTATTCTAATCTGATTATTATGGCTTTATGGTTTGTTGTTTTTATTAATAAATAATAATAATTCTGATAGTGAAGTAGTTTGTTTAATTTACTAGTTTAGATTGGCATGGATTTGAATACTGGATTTAACATTAAGCATATTTAAAATATCAAAAACTAAACTTATCATTTATAGACCATTTTTGAATCGGAAATAAAGTGCAAGTAAAATTTATATGTATTTTTGTTGATGTTGATAACATATAAAAATATCCAATGCATTTCTTTTAATTCTTATAAAATATAAAATATATATATTGTATTGTTTATTTTGTAGTCATATGAAATCAAATTTGCGATATCAAATTTCACGCCTGAAATGGTGTGTTAACGTTAACAATAATAATAATAGAATCGTTATGGAAGTACACAAAAAAATACCAATTTGTATACATAAACTATTAAATCACGTCATTTTATCAATCTCTGACGTCAAATTGTTGGAAACACACCTTACATTTCTCTTGTTTTGAGCAAAATAATTAACATGTTAATGATACTCTAAAGAAACACCCATTTATACTATAAAAACAGTCTTGAACGGGCCAACGCAAAACTTTATTATGTTAAATTTATTTGTGGTATTAATAGCACATCAGCACAGTAAATACAAGTATCATCAGTTGTTTTATAATTTAAATAAATTGGATTGGACAATCGCGTTTTTTTCTGTTTATTGGCATCTTTTTTATATATAAACATATTCTTTAAAGTTGTCACACAATTTTTTAGTTTTTATCTAATTAAGATACCTACTAAATTATAAGTTATATAATTATAGTTAATCATGTCTTGATGAATTCAAATTGTGGTATGAATTTATTTTTAGTGGTCTTTTTAATATAAACTCAATTATTTTTAGTTAACATTATTACAAATAAAACCTAGTAATATTTCAGAGTTACGATCAATAAATTTTTGTACTGGTGGCAATTGGTATTTTTGTATACACTGTTGTGGTTTTTTGTTTGTACACATATGTATTTTCTAGCATAAAAATTTAGTAGATAGTGTTAAAAGCAAGTTTGTCATTGCTATTATATGAAATTATATAAATACTATAACAAAAGAGAGAAAAAAAATCTAGAAGGATGCTATACCGGGTGCACCTCAAAAGTGGCACACCCCTATAACTTTATTTTTTCAAATAAAGAAACGAAATTTGGTATGTCAATATTTGACATAAATTATGATTGACTGAGGCATTTAATTGTTTTTGGTGCTTTATTCCTGTTTTACCGAAAATCACCAGAGATTTTCTATTGAATTAAGTAAAAAAATACCCAGGGTGCCATTTAAAAATTAAAAGTTGTAGTAATTTCCGGTGAAACAGGAAGTGACCAAAAACAGTTGAATACGTAATACGTCAATCAATCTTAATTTATGTCATAACAAATCTCGTTTTTTTATCCAATATAACACAAATATTAAAAAATAAAAAAATAAAAAAGGTGAAAACTGAATTTTCATTTTGTATAACTATAATATGATCGAAAAATAAAACGACGCCAGCGATGGCTATCATACGGTACTACAAAAACTCTAAGGGCTCGAACACACTGACGACCAGGTCGCACCGGCCAGGCCGCAGCTATCTCTAAAACCATTAAATCAAATGATATAGCGCACACTAACGTCCTGGCCGTCCGTTGGTCGTTGCGACCCAGAAGACTGCACGGAAATATTATTATTTTCTGCCGCTTGTTGCCGGTTTTCTTCCAAATTAATAATTTTTCAGATGAAATCCCTCAAATTCAAGGCACAATATTTTATTTTCTATAAGATATAGTCACAGATATAGTGTTTTAGTGTAGTTTTTGCACACATGCAGAAAATCCAAAGAAATAGTATACAGACTGGGTCAAAGGTAAACTTAAATCTAATCCCTTTTTTTATCAAGGGTCGATTCTAGTAAAAACTCAAAACATTTTTATATGACATACCTACTCTATTTATGGTTGGTATGATACCTGTTATTATACCTTTGAGTTTCGATGTTTAAAAAATAAAAAAAAAATAATATTTAAAGTTTTTCTACAACCACTTGTTTGTTTTTATTAAATTAGTTTTTTTTAGTTGTATTGTAGTCATGTACAAAGAGGACAACTGTATTTTAAATATGATATTTAATTTAACGTTTTTCAAACAGGGTTCATTAGACTATATTTCTACTAGGTACATTATTTTGAAAAAAAAATAAGAAAGTAACTTAAACATTCATAAAAATAGAAGTAATTACCTACTGTTGTAGATTCTTCGTTATATTGTAAACATTGAAATAACTGGAAGCTAAACTTTCTACCAGCTTATATTTAGAGCCAGTGTCTGACGATCTTTTTTTACGATGGCCCTATATGTTTATTTCTAAAGTCGATAAGGGCGCCATATCAGTAGAAAAAAGAAACAGAATATCTCCCTTTTTGTCGGTCGCGTGTATACAATGCTTTTTGTTTGTTGTGAATAGCAACTTCGCTTTTTAGTTAACTCGGATATTTTAACATTTCTGAAACAATATTTTCTAATTGGTAAAACGTAAAAAATCGTTAGATTTGACAACTGTGTTGAAACCGGTCGTTCATCTGGCCGCAGCTAAAAACGCAATACATCCGGCCAGCCGACGGCCAGGTCTTGCGACCTGGTCGTCAGTGAGTTCGAGCCCTATAGCATTTTTTAAATGAATGAATTAGACATAACTTAATTTGTAGCCAACGGATTTATTGAAAATATGGATAGCCGAATTCTTATCGAAAATTTCAAATATGGACGTGAAATTTATAGCTGTACATTGTCAAGAAGTTGGCGGAAAAAAGTACGAGAAGTCCATGAAACATGTAGACTCTTTCGTGAAAACTCTTTTAAACAGCAATGAACTGAAAAGTTTCAATAAAGTTTGTGTATTTCTTGACGAAGATTTCAGTTCAGTCCAACATTTCACTGTAAGTATCTTTTTTTCCCTGAAATTAAGGCATTAAAAAATTGTTAGTACAGTCTGTGGTATGGCACTGTAAGAAGAAGAATCATAGATTATGGGTTTTGAGACATCTGACTGAAGCTGATAACTTGATATTGTTGCACTGAATATTCGACAATTAATGTTTTTTAGGCTTTGGGGAGTTTATATTTTGTTCATGAAACTGTTGACGCTTCGATTTGGAATTTTAAAGAATCTAAATTTGTTCCACTAGCAGAGAAGCAAGTGTATTCTGGCAATATTGAAGCTGTACCCATAAAAGAAAAAGCAAAATTTCCTCAACATTTTTTTCCAGAAGTAAGTACAGTAGTTTTAATTAAATTTTAAAACATATTCAAATACTAATACTGGATGATCGAAAAAAAACCGTCAAAAACGGCTGGAGAATATATTATATTTCGTATGGCAGCAAAGGATACCATTGACAACATTAACTACAATAAAAACATTAACCATATACACAAGTGTTGTCAAAGGTCAAGTCCAAACAGATAGAACAATACAATGTAAAATGACTTGTGGGGAATGACAATCGATGATAATTTTGGCGAGGTCAGTCTCTAGACGTCATTTGCTAAGAATTGACATAAAACTTGTCAGAAATTAACACTAATTATGAAAAGATTAAAAAAGGATAGAACGTTTCCAGACACACAAATCTATTTTCAAAAAAATATTTTTCTCGAATTTTAACCTACACCATTTTAAAATAAATTTACTCAATATAAAAATAAATCACAACCTTTTTAAGGCTAACTGGCAGTAAGCGCCATTAAAAAATAAAGAAGAGTAAATGATGTCTAGGACTTGTCAATCCACAGCCCTCTTGGACGCCGTTTTTTTTTCTATCGTATGGTATTATATGGTATTATATCCATAAAAACAATTAATAGAGTAAATTATTTTGATATAGTGTAAGTGGTCTAGAAAAGGATATATGCGAACTCGTTGGTCAATTTTCGGCACAATTTTCGATCTGATAAACATTCATCTGTTTCACGATGCTTCAAATCTAGTCGCCATGACTACGTATCCGTCGGTTTATAGTAAAAATCGCAAATACGCTTTGGAACACACGCTGCAGCGATTCCACAATGACCAATATGAAAATGTTCCGTATTTTGTTTTTGGAGACTTTAATTTTCGTACTGATACAAAGGGTGTTATTAACGTAAGTTATAAAAAAATAAAATCATATTTTTTAGCACTTAAAACGTGATTTTTTTCAGAAATTAACAGACGGGTTGATAAAATCTAGAATACAAAATACCAAAAATAATGACCAAACTAAATTGCAGTATACAAATGAAGAAAATGTAATTTTAAGTATTGGCAAAAAGGAATTCAGTCATAGCGACCATGAAAATATGTTTTTGGATTATAATTGGGTAGGTAAAAGGCATAGCATGATAATGGTCCTGATTCTAAATAATTTCCACAATGCCCACGGTTACACAAAAAGCGTTTTTAGCCTTTTGCGTTTTTTGCGTCTCAAGCGCTTTTTGCGATTTTACCGTTTTAAGCGTTCTTTTCGATTTGTATCCATTAAAAACACGCAAAAGACGCGGCAGGTCTGCAGTTTTTACCAAGATGTCAATTAGTAACGTCGCAAGCTCGTGGATTCCTGGCCCGTCCAACAATCAATCCTGTGAGAAAGAGATAGGCGAGATCGGCACCGTTAGCATTGAAGAGACGAAGATAAAAGATGCAGGGATTGAATTGTGGACGGGCCGGGGCATATATTCGGAGACAAACACAATCTACTGCTAGTGCCAGTGGTGTGTGTAAAAATAATAATTATTACATATTTGCCACTTATTTTACGAATTTTAGTTTATATGTGTATAGTTTTTTATGTTGTAGTGTTGTGATTAGTACTTGTTATAATTATAATATAATATAACATAACAAATATAGTTATAATTATATAATAGAATAGTAAATATTTCTAGTTGCTAAGGCAATTTTAGGACATGCTTTATGAAACGTTATGGAGTGAAACTTCTTTACGCGCGCTGGGAGTAAAAATTGAAGACCGTGACATACAAGCTAGTGAGTCGGCCCTGACACACGAGCTCGTTGTAACGAAACGTGTTAACGGCTTAGAAATACGTAGTGACGCGACGTATATATTTGTGAGCAGTCCACGTGTTTATCAAAAATATTGATATTTTAATACAAATTTTGTAAAAGTGAATCAATTATTACGTGTAAAAAAACATTTGTTACACGTAAAAACTATTTTTTACGTATAAAACTATTTGTTACTGGTAGAAAACTATTTTTTTACGCGTGTAAAACTATTTGTTACTGGTAAAAAACTATTTTTTACGCGTATAAATCTAGTGATGGGCAAAACTGTTATTTTTAGATAACAGTTGAAACTGTTATAGTTATTTATAAAAAAAACAGCTTAAAATAACAGTTTAAAAATAACAGGTTTCTTTATTTTATTGCTAAATATCTGAAAGAGTATGAGGCGGTCACCGCCAGGCGTATTAACGCAGTTGCAAGTTGCAACAATGACATGCTCGGTGGTAGTATTTCCAGGGTGTCAAAATATTTCTAAATATCGATTGTTATCTAAAATACCCTTCTAAAAATGGTCGTTGTTTACAAATAAGCGCTGTTTACAAATTGCGATATAAAAAAGCCAAAATTCCGCCACTCGTCTATACGTATACATTCCGATCTACCTACGCCTTGCCCCTCGATCCGCGTAGATCCTGAATTGCATAGCAGTGCACAGGGTGCATCTCTCTCGACGGGCGAGAAGCTCTTAGTTATAGTTTTACCATTTGCGGTAAAAAAATAGCAATATAAAAAAATGTGTAGTATATTCTTCATAAGTAAACCAACTACACACTAGAGTTCGAATTAATTTTACACTTAAACTAGCGTGTACCCGCGTCTTCGTTCGCGTCGAATTTGTAATGGTGATGATAAAGCAAAGCAAGAATTTCTATTAACATACAAACTGGATAAAATTTTCTCACATTTGCCAAAAATAAGCTTTAAACGTCGAGCAGTTTAAGCAGAATCGTGGTTAATCAACTACTCAACTTTTTGGAACACCCTGTATGATTTTTTAAAAAATTTCAAAATATGTAAAAAAACTAAATAAATTATGCGTGTCCAAGAAAGTGTTTTCCCGAAAAACTAACCGTTTTTTAAATAACAATTATTATTGTAATATTTGAGGCGCGTTTTCACCCTCTCGGAATTTGAGATTCGAGAAACCCCTCCTTATCGAATCTCAACCCCACAGTAAATCCGTTTACCAAAAATATTTTCTTACGCAAAAAAAAAATATTTTTTACGTGTCAAAAACTATTTGTTACACGTAAATAAATAATTTTTACGCGTCAAAAACTTATTGTTTCTAATAAAAAACTCTTTTACCCAAAAAAAAATTTTTTTGCGTGTAAACAAACTATTTGTTATACGTAAAAAAGTATTTTTTACGCGTCAAAAACGTTAAAAAGACCTTTTTTACGCAGAAAAAAAAACACTTTTTACGCATAAAAAACTATTTTTTACGCTTAAGAAAATATTCCTTTAATTTATTACTTTTTCAACATTTCAAACTACACTTTTTCAAACATTTCCTTCAAATTTTTGAATTTAATAAAAAAATCTTCCTAAACAGTAGATGTCCTTTATAAAAATATTTTTAGATAATATCCTAAAATGAAAAAAATGGATACTATTTAATTTATTTTTATTGTATTATTAAACATAACGTCCGCCTATGACGGGGTCTCATCTTAGAAAACGCTAAAGACGCTACAGAAAACAAACTGATTTGTTTTTATTTGCGTTTTTGCGAGACACGCCGAACGCTACACGCTTTTTGTGTAGCCACTCCTATATAATCCTGTTATTTTATTTTAGTCGCTAAAGACGCTTCACGCTAAAAGCGCAAAAAACCCTTTCTGTGTGGCCGTGGGCTTAATCATCTAAAAGTTTTTTTTTTCTAAAGGATAAATAAAATTCGTTTTTATTTATTTAAAGCTGTTGAAATTGTTGAATATTAAGATCAAGGAATAAGGAGCATAGCAACAAAATTTGAACGACCGCAATGATAGTTTAATATGGTTTTTCTAAATCACATAATATGTTATGTATGAAATGGCGTTCGCAAGTTTAGAACCAGGAAATAAACATTTTATTTAAAAAATGCCTATGTTTCGACGTTGAAGCTGAAAATAGCCTTGATAAAGAGGAAAATACTCTTTATCAAGGCTATTTTCAGCTCAAAGGTTCTTTTGTCAGTAATTAATAATAGCTGATTCTGATAGTCTGGGTACAATTCACAACACTACACATAATAGTCCGTCTACCGATTTGGTCATTTTAGAAGTGTGGTCTGGATTTTAACGTGTAAAGCTTGATTTTCATGCATCCGTTATCCAATGATATGATGATACGATATTAATTTTATTGGTTGAATTTAAAGGCTTCGATTGGTTAACCGTTTCTAACCAATAAAATTGAAAACCAATAAAAATTCAACCAATAAAATTGATATCCTATCATCGTATCGTCGGATAACGGATGCATGAAAATCAAGCTTAAGACAGAGAATAATATAAATGACCGGTTGACAGACAGAGAGACAACATCAAAAGCGGCATAAAGTGTTGCCGGTTTTTACGTTTGTAGGAAAATTTGTGTAAAAAAACTATTTTAAAAACTTTCATGTGTATACTACTGAAATTTAGATAATATATCTAAGCTAAATATAATCTATTACATCTGTAGTAAAATGAGTAACTAATTGCGAAAAATAAGGTTCCAACTCTAGATGCAGCATTTTCCATAAACGCCTACTTGTGCGGTTTGAAATTTTGATGCAAAATCCGGCAATACCGCATAGAAGAAATGTATCAACCCAACTTTTATCTCTTTTTAATACATTTGACTTTCCATTAAGCTGCCTACATCACTGTCTTACACGTTAAAATCCAGACCACACTTCTGAAATGACCAAATCAGCCTATAAGTTGTCAATCTATTTAGAAATCAAAAGGTGTTTGTGCGAAAATAATTTAATACTTTAATTAATCCTAATTCATGTCATATACTCACATACAAAATCTCATTTTTTTTTTCTTAAAAAAAAGATATAGGTGTGAGCCGTGATTTTGAAAAACAAACGGTATCAGCAATAGTTTCCTTTCTTAACTCTATTTATTAAATGGTTTAAATTTATTGTAGTTGCATATATCTTAACGTCAGTGCTTTATATTCCAAAAAAATCCGTGAAGGTCCGTATCCATTAAACGCGGCTACCGCGCCGTGCGGCCATTGAATGTCTAATGGAAACGTATCCTAAAAGCGACATAAAATGTTTCAGAATGAATGAATTTAAATCATTGATTTATTGTTTTCTATTCAAGTTGCGATCATTTGACAAAGAAATTGACGCCTTCAAGGATATTTTGGCCGAATTTCCGCTGGTATTTGCACCCTCGTACCCTTTCGAGGAACAGGTGTCCAAAGCCAATAGCTACATGCCGACCCGGTGCCCAGCCTGGTGCGACAGAGTTTTACTTAGTCACTCCGCCAAAGAAATAATTAAAGTAGACCACCCTGTAGAGTACGGACTGTTGGGTCCTAACACCTGCATGGGGGACCATAAAGTGAGTTAAATGATATTCAAATATTTCATATCTTGTAGTATTATTTCTTAATTCAAACATTAAGTGTTAACCTTGACGCACTTATTAAAAATATACCAAAAGTACGCCTAAAAAGTTTACAGAAAAGAGTTACTTTGAATGTGGCAGACAATGATTCAGTATTGAAACTAAAAGAATTTCTGACTTCCATTGTCTATTTATTTTTGATTAACACAACGTTTCGGCCAGAAGGATCACTGACGTTATCAAGTGTAAAATAAACTAATTCCTAAAACTACTGAGCTTTTATACTACAGTAAGGTTGCCTCGTGAAGAAGTTGGGTGCAGTCAACCACTTAGAATGCCTGCATTGGAGCGTTTTATCAGTGGTTGCCATATCGTAGATATTTCCGTACTGTTTTGACCAAACATGATCCACAATACCCGACTTCATTGTTTCATATTTTTGTACATGTTCTTTTGTGCTTGCTAAGTCGTACATTTAGAGGACGTTTAGCCTCTCCAATATACGACTCGCCGCATTCACCTGGTACGTGGTGATAGACTCTTTCTCTTGATTCAATGACTCCGGTCTTGTTTTTGTTAGGACACTTCATGAACCAATGATGAGTCAGTTTTACAATTTGAATGCAAATCCGTTTTAATATTATTTAATTCAGCATTAAGTGATGCTTGGTCACTGCATATGGTATTTACTAGATGACATAAAGGTTTAACTATTCCTTTCTTAGTTGCTTCAGAATAATTGTTTGACTGAAAACTTAAATATTGTCTCGTATCTGTGAGTTTTCTGGATACAGAAGTCCCAATAGATATCCCATTTCTGCTAACAATCAGAACAGATGTTTTTCTTTTTCTCAATCGTAAAATTTAATGAATGAATCAATTTGGGAATTAAGATGAATGAGGAAGGAATCCAACTGTCTATTGGTTCCGTTCCAGATTATGAAAGTATCATTACCATATCAGAAAGGGGTGTCTCATATTTAACCCATAAAAAGTCTAAAAATGAGACATATTGAGTTAAATATAAGACTCTCACAAAATGCACGTTTAAAGGCCCTGTTATTGTTTATATTAAATGCTGAAGTAAATATGAGATATAAGCAGAATATAAATTTTCAGTAATTTTATTTGAATGTCTCATTTTTTAACCCTCAACTAGCGTGGTGAATTTTTGTACCGCTTATGGCGTTCTGGGGTCCAATGGACCTCAATTTTTTTTTCAGTAAAAATTAAATGAAGAAGAGATTTTATAAACAGTTTATTATTTTAACAATGTTTAGAATATACATGTAATATATGTATATGTAATATATATTTTTTGAATATTATTCAAACTTGTGAACAAACAATTTCATTCATTTTCAATAAATTAATAAGAACGGACACCAAAAAATAAAGTAAATCGCATTTTTTAGGAATTTTTGACAACAGAAATATAACTTGGCTAAGAAACTCCATAGAAATTAAAAACATATATATATTTTATGATTTTCCCATATTACTGAAAGTACAAACAACTGAAACGTGAAACTAAAGTAATAAATATAAATTAATTTCAACAAAACTCCAAACTTTGAATGTACAAAACTTTTTCAAATACAGGGTGGTCGAAATTGGTCTGTTTTAACAGAGAAACCCTATTTCCTGACTAGATAGAGCAGAACCGACATAGATGTCGTGGGTTCGATTTCTGAGAAACATTTAATGACGTAAACCGCCTGTTGATATTTTCACTGCTAACTGAGATACGGGGTCTTTTTGAATTTTTAACCATTTTGAAAATTGCCCATAACTTTTTTATTTCGCGGAATAATAAAATTCTGTAAAAACGTTCTTACGGCACTTTTTTAAGCACAATTCAGTGGCGTAGTCAGTTTTTTTTCTATGCTTGCTCTTTTTGTCAGAAATGATAAAAAATATAATTTTTTAAATGGAAATCATAGTTGGCTATGAACTTAAAAAAATGCTGGCGGTTAACCCTCTCCAACGATATAAAGTTATGTGTATTTATTTCTAAGAATAAGAGAAATATTTGGTTTTTTATCTTTGTATCGAAGCGGGACTTGATTTTGTGTTGACTTAGTTGCCTAATTATTTTTTGTTACAATTTAATATTCTATATTTTTATTTTTCTGCATAATTAAAGACTTTTGAAAAGGTAAATCAACATTCTATATTAGTATAAACAATTATAATTAAAACGGCAGGGTTATAACTGAACTATTAAATGGAGAATTTAGAGAGAATTCGATTGGAAAAGGCTGCCCCATATCTTGTTTGTTTGTTTTATATATAAGGGAAGAACCATTGGGACGAGGGAAGAATTGCAGAAGGCTACTAGGCAAGCTTTTGGACTTATTACACCAGTTCGCCTAATAAATCGCCAAACCAAACTCTGTACGCAAAAGATGTTTATTGTGTATTCAACAAGAAGGCGATGTTTGAACATCTTTGATGTTTTTTTTTAGAAAACTATATTCGTCACTCAAAACATAAGTTTTTTAGTTTATTTGTTCGTTGTTTAATGTATCGATTTCAATTGTAATTACTAATGCTAATATAGAATGTTAATTTACCTTTTCAAAAGTCTTTAATGATGCAGATAAATAATAATATAGAATATAAATTGTGATAAAAATATCAAGCAAGTAGGTCAACACAAAATCAAGGCCTACTTCGATATAAATATAAAAAACCTAATATTTCTCTCATTCTTAGAAATAGATACTCATAACTTTATATTGTTGGAAAGGGTTAAACGCCACCATTTTTTGAAGTTCATAGCCAACTATGATTTCCATTTATAAAATTATATTTTTTATAATTTCTAACAAAAAGAGCAAACATAGAAAAATCTAACTATGCCACTGGATTGTGCTTAAAAAGTGCCTTAAGAGCGTTATTACAGAATTGTATTATTCCGCAAAATAAAAAAGTTAAGGACAATTTTCAAAATGCTTAAAAATTCAAAAAGACCCCGTATCTCAGTTGGCAGTGAAAATATCAACAGGCGGTTTACGCCATTAAACATGTCTGAGAAATCGAGCCGATGACATCTCTGTCGGTTTTGCTCTATCTAGTCAGGAAATAGGGTTTCTCTGTTAAAACAGACCAATTTCGACCACCCTGTACAGTCAGTTCATGTTAACATAGGGTCTGCAATTGCCGCTCATGGATCGTGCACATTTGATTCATGAGATTTTTGTTTTTTGTTATTTCTCCGTTAACATACCACATCTTTTTCGTTTCTGGTATTGATTAATGAATTTTCTCTCTTCTATAAGAGGCTCAGAATCGGAGTTATCCCAAGCAACACAGATAGTAGCAGGTACGTTCCTGGGACTACAAAAGCGACCATCAAATAGACTGCCACTATAGACGGCTACGTTGCCGCCACGTAACTGTTACTAAAATGGGGAAGAATTTAGGGTAACTGGGTAGTATACCGGGTGGTCCCAGGGACTAACGCTGCCACTATACTTCGTAACTATAAAGTGAAAGGGTAGTAGCGGCCACTATCCTGCTACGTAGCGGCCTGGTCGCCCCTACGTAGCCGCCTGGTAACTGCTACTATATAGGAAGTAGCAAAACATTCTTCTAGCGACCTCTACTTTAAAAAAACGTTTTGAAATAAAATAATAATATGATATGACAGCCGCGGTGCATGGCCATGTCAAAGTTAAGTTAATAATGGCGTGTTATGTTTATGAGAAAAATGATGGTTTTTAATCGCGTATTTCGGACACTTCCAGGACTAATATAATAACGCCACGTCACTTTACTGACAAATATTACCGAGTTAGATGGAAATATTTTAACGCGCCTTCGAATTAATTCAATTTTGTAGATATTTAAGGACAAAAAATAATTTTTAATATCAAAAATATTAAAAATAATATTTCGTAATGCACGAAAGTGTATTCGAGTTCTAATTGGAAAAATAAATGCTTAAAGCACTATAAAACTTGGGAAAATAAAGAAAACAATGAAAATATATTAACAAATAAATTTAATTAAAAAATGTCTGATAGTAAAAAATGGCTGACGCACACTTCGCTACGATAAAGTTAGGCTCTTCCCTATGAAGTAGCAGGGACTACCCATTTTTTACTTTAAAAGATCCGCTACTTCCAGTGATTAAGTTGTTACTACCCAAAAGTTACTTTGTAGTATCAGTTACTACTTTGGAACTTTGTTATTCCTAAATTTATTTAAATTTTGTACACTATGGTAACTACTGGAACTAGAAAGCTACTTTGAACACCCAAAAAGTCGGACAATCAGGCATTTTGTGACAATATAGTTCCATATGTCTCTATAAAGTTCCGCCTACCTCTCATCTCAAAACAATTTAAGAACACTAATTGTTTATCTAGGAGCCTTGGAAAAATATATTTGATCTTTTTATGTTTTTCGTGTCTTGTCTTGACTGGTTAAAAGATGCCTAAATTGTATTTTTAATCATATCTTAATTTTTTCAAATGGAACGAGGATGACTTATTAGCATATTTGAAAAAAGCATTTTTACGAACAATTTCGTAATTCGTTTAAATGAATAAATAATTCGTTTTTTATATTTCGAGTCAAATTGCCGTTATGAACCAATGTTACAATTTCAAATAAACCATATGAGAAAATGTCATATTATGATAGTCATTCTATTCAGAGTGTCATTTTCTATTGAATTAAGCAAAAAATATTTAGGGTGCCATTTAAAAATCAAAAGTTGTTTTTTCCGGTGAAACATGAAGTGACCAAAAACAAATGAATAAAAAAAATGATGAATGAGAAAATCGAATTTTTACTTTCACCCTAATCTGATTTACTTCAATTCCAGTCTCCAAAATCTCATTTAATTCTGTTACAAAATCATGTAAAAATTCTTGTAATGGAGCTTTTGACTTGCCACAATAAACAGCTGCCACCAAAGGTTGATCGCAAGGATATTCATGCATTTTTAGGAGTATCGGCCAAAATTTTAATGGAGAACTCTTAAATGGAGGCAAGCCATCAACACTAAAAATTAGAGACATCGATTCTAGGTTGGTCTGTTCGGATAAACGTGCTACTAAAATGTCCTTATTCCATTGTACCAATGACACAATATCTCAGTGTACTCAATAAAGTCCTGCTGTTTCCTGGCAATGATGTTGCTGTTTCCTGGAAATTCATTTTTTAGTATACCAAGTAAATCTGTTAAAGCAATGTGGCTAGTCAGGCTGTCAGTGGCTAGTCAGGAACCAACTCGACATTCCTAGAAAAATGCAGCTATAAGAACTTTACAAATATATAGAAAAAACGACAATTATGCATAATAATAATATGTATATGAATTTTCAAAAATAAATTTAAAATAATTTATTGTCATATCAAAGCCCAGTCATACTTCTCTATATTTAATCCAATAAACCCTTTATCCTGGTGAACTTGTCTAGAAAGTTCCACTAGCAGCGCAGTGAACAAACAATTTTATTGATCTTTATTCTTGTGGTAACGATCCTGTCCGTTAACCGGGGGTAAATACGCGATCTGCTACTGTAAAGAAATATTTTTTAGTTTCCACAACTTTATAGTAGCAAGACGTCAATAGGAGTATAGTACCCGTTACTTTATAGTAACAAACCATAGTTGCAGCTACTATTTTGGGACCAACAATCAGTACCCAAATGCCTCGTAACTTTAAGACCCAAAATATAGGGTACTGCGACTATTCATGGGACTATATAGTAACAAGTACTTCATACACCCAGTTTAGTAGCACAGGCTGGTAGCCGTTCCGTATTTATTGTCACTATGTAGATTTTGCCACTTAGTGGTAACAATGAAAGGATTTGCGTAGTCCCAGTTACTAGACGCAACAACCCATTGGCTACCTTAATTTTGGGTGTTTAAATTCCAAATGACTAGTAACAGGGTGGTAACAGATACTATCCAAAAATACTTTGCAGTGGTATTACCGGATATAGTGACAAAATAGGTAACAGGGTGCACCCAGGAACTATGTTTTAGTAGCCAGTCTTAAACCGAAGGGATTTGGAACTATCTGTGTTGCTTGGGATGGTTACTCTTCGGGGAAAAATCAATGTCTAGATGCTCTTGATATCACTTAAGTCTCTTTAAGTTCATCAAACCACTCGATTAATGCTTCCTCAAATTAGCGTCCCCGTGACGCACACTTTTTGGACTACCCACCATCCTAATAATGAAACATTCTTGGCGTGGTGGTGCCACGCAAGTCCCAATGAAACTTACCCCCCTGCGCTGGTAGGAACAATACTTGATAAAAACATGTGCGCCTTTAACAGTTGCATATGGGTACCCTAACTTAAAGGTAAATGGTGCGGCGAGGTCTAAATATTAAACATAAAAATTGTACAGAAGTTTAAATAGTGCTGGGGGTCCGCTGTACTCTACCACGTCAGTTGAGGGTTAACTTAATATGGTATATCTCATTTTTACACCACTTGATCGTACACTAAACTTATTCTGGTTTTGTTTTTAGCCTGTGTACCTTAAACTAAAGCTGGCGAAAGACGCAGGTATAGTTAGATGTTGTGGCGATAGTGCACCACCGCTGCTACGCTTGCCTTCCGATGATAAGTGTCGATGTTTCTGTCGAACTTTAGTCACCGTTCCTATAAACATTATCGATACGAGCGACGATTACTTAACCGAAAAATCAATTCCGGAAGTCGCGACAACTAACTCTAAGTACTTACAACCCTCCGCCAGGGTTCAGACAACTCTGGAGCCCTATACTCCAGAGAGTTCTGCCTCGCGATCGCCTTTTTCTGAGGAAAACGACTCGGAAGAACCGGAAGTTCAGAGGCGAACTTCCTTTTGTCCGGCTCAACTTAAAAATAAGCTAGAAAATATTTTATTGTCTTCGGACGGTGATAGCAATAATTCTTCGCTTGCACGACGGAGTGTGATAGTTGACGAAAGTACTGATCGTATCGGTGATAGTTCTAACGTAAGATCTCGGGCGAATTCAACAAAAACGCGAACACTAGGAAGCAATATCGAGTACAAAAGGTTCAATTTTATTAGGTTTAAGAAAAAATCTCGGAAAAAAAATATATCGTGCATTGAGGCTGTATGTGCTATAGCATGATGCTGTATTAGTGCGGTAGAGCCTGTGGATTATGTTTTATTTTCATTGTTTGAAGTCTGAGAATTTTTTTGATTTTTTTTTGTATTTGTTTCGACTTAATAAAAGAATGTTAGAAATATTTTTTTTTAATTTTTTTAACCCGCTCGTATTTTTTTTAGTTTGATTAGTTTGAATGTAGATTATTTAAAGTGTTTTTTTTTTAAATTTTATATACCTTTAAAATTTTATCTGGATATGTATCTGTAAAATATTCAAAAAACAAGTTTTAGAAATGGCAGTTTAAAAGTCTTTCTGTTTGGATTTATTAATGTTTCTTCTGGCTATAAAATACTATACAGGTTGTTAATTTGTTTATTACTCGCGGCAAGAGCTTTATGGTTGAAATATGGCAACCTCGGCCCGCTCGTCGATAGACGCCGCGACGGGACGAGTCGGTAGAAAACCCTATAAGTGCATGCGTTCTCAATAGGCAGTGTTGCCATTCTGTTCCCCTATAAGTAACTGTCCAGTTAACAACCTGTATAATCAAATATATATATTTTTAACTGAGATAGAGCTTATTTATGATGCCGTTTTATATCATTTTTTTCAAAAATAAGCTTAGTAGAAATGTAGAGAATGTTAAGTTAAACTAGTATATCACAGGGTTATTCACACTACTTCTAAAAGTACAGGGTGGGTCAAATTCGGCGCTTTTAAATGGAAACACCCTTTTCTATAGGAGATAGACGAAAACTAATATCGGTGTCTGGAGCTCAATTTTTGTCAAAAACATGATGGTGAAAACCGCATATCGATATCTGTTAGCGTTTCGGAGTTACGGGGTGTTTTTCAAAAATATGCACTGTTAACAAATCGCTGTAACTTTTTTGTTATGGAATTTTTCTTTGTATTTTTATGAAAACATTTCCAAAGCACCTTTTTACGTAGAATTTAATGGTTTAAGTATATTTTTTTTAAAATTAATAATTTAAGAATTATCAACAGAAAATTTGATTTTTTATATGGAACATCCTGTATATTTTTAATTTATTGAAAAGAATTTAAAATTACCTTTCCAAAAATATAACACACTTGATATTTTGCTCGATTCCTCTTCGAGATATAGAGTATATAAAAATTTGCCCGCTTTAAATGAGTAGGCTTTGAACGGTACCGGCTGCAATGCAAAAAAATCTAGCTGTGAGCATCAATTAAAACGAAAATAATATTTGCTATGAGAGATGCCGAATTTTATAACTATTTAAAATATATTTAATCAACATCAACACATTTAAACTATATCTAATAACAATAAAAATATATAGTAAACCAAGACATGAGATTTTGCTATAGGTGTTCGACATATCGACCGTCTTCTGTTATGGACAGACGGGGCAGTTTTTGAACATTTCTCGCGGAATTCATTAACTCAGTGGGGGTGAAAGATACTCTCTCATAACTGCTAAGTATTTCTAATTCTTGTCTAGATTATACGGAAGAATAAGGAACCTTTATTTTTCCGCAAATATATCGATAGGATTAGATCCATGGGCACTAAGTCAGGCGGCCTCGACGGCCAACGGCTGGAATCTTGGTTGGCTATTCAATTATTCTTGAAATTGGATGCAAAAATTTGCTGATAACTTCAGCGTCCAGAGGCGGTGCGTTGTCTTGCTGGAAAAATATGTTTTCGAGTTCCATTAAAGGCATATCATCAATAAGGGGTCCAAAGCCTACTAGTTAAAAGTGGCGAACTTTTAAAAATTCTGTATTTCGAAGGGGTGCTATATTTTTGGAAAGGTAATTTTAAATTCTTTTCAGTTATTTAAAAATATAGAGGCTGTCCCAAATAAAAAATCAATTTTCTATTGATAACTCTTAAATATTAATTTTAAAAAAATTATACTTAAACCATTAAATTCTACGCAAAAAGGTGCTTTGGAAATGTTTTTATAGAAATATAAAATTTTGGATAGCAAAAAAGTTACAGCGATTTGTTAAAAATGCACATTTTGTGAAAAAAACACCCCCTAACTCCGAAACGGTAACAGATATTGATGTGCGGTTTTCACCATCATGTTTTTGATGAAAATTGAGCTCCAGACACCGATATTAGTTTTCGTCTATCTTCTATAGAAAAGGGTGTTTCCATTGAAAAGCGTCGAATTTGACCCACCCTGTACACTACACAGTGTCCTAAATATAAAAGTTGTATTTTGAGAACAGACCACCCTGTGTATTATTACACTTTTAGTTTTTACAAGTGAAATAAAGGTAAATTTGATCAAGATTCGCCTCACTAAAATCTTAACGTTTTCCAAATATTTACAATTTTGTGAAAATGCAGTAACAATTTTAATGCTTAATTTCTTTAAGCTTATTTAAGTTTTTAAAACCAAATAATGCACTGAAGATTTTTCATTTATTATAATATGTCTGCATCTAAAAATTAATTTTAAATAATTATTAGTTTTAAAGCGCAAGTTAAAGTTGTTTAAGTTAAGTGAAAGACCCTGTATATTATGGAAGCATCAAATGCAACATTAAAAAGTAACTAATTTTCAGAGAATATTAGATTTTGACGTTGTTAATATTATTCCTACTCAAATATTAATTATTGATGATTTGCGTTGATTAAAAATTGTACTCTTGCCTGTTTAGATGTGATTTGGAGAAATATTATACGGTGTTTATATTATGTACTCCATTTTCAATAACTTACTATTTTTCATCCCTAGATTGATTTTGCAACAAAACAACGTAAGATTGGCTTTGAAATGAAGATCGCTCTCATTTTATTTACAAAATTATATGAGGAATGCCATCGATAGTCATTTTCGAGGCAACTTAACGCCGTTTATTTTCGATCATTCCAAACATTCCAACCCTGTATAATAGACATAGAGGTCGTTTTTTGTTTATAAATGTAAATAACAAGTTTTTTACTCTAATTCTTAAATTAGAATATGGGTGGGGACAGCGTATTCAATTTTTCACCCAGTGGGTAAAGATCCACACCTGTGTAGATTTGTTTGTGAATTCGTGTAAATTTAAATTTTATAAACTGCCATTTTCCTAAAGTATTTTTTATTTAGCTCGTGTGTGTTATACAAATTTTAGCATATTTTTATTTTGTGATTGTTGTTTGATATTTTAAATTTAGTAAGTATTTTTTTATTATTTTCCGTTAAAAAATAGACATTTTATTGTAATTCTGTTATTTATTGGGTATTGTTTATGTCTAAAAACATAAATATTGCAAAAAGTAAAAATAATTCTCTTGAATTCCAACACTTTTTTTAATTTATGTGTTTATAGCATTACTTTTTCTTTTGCACTTGTTTAGACGTATGTAGGGTTTCCAATTTTCGGGATCGGGATCCCGTTTTGTTATCCCGGGATTAGAACCTATCATCCCGGGGTCCCGGGATTGACTATCAGAATGAGAAATGTAATCTAAAGAAATACTTAATAAACATGCAATACATATGTATATCAAAAAGAAAATGAGGAAAGAGCTTTATTAAAATAGACAAAACAAAGTATCATTCATATTTAGTGATTAAAATAAATGAATTCTTGTTGAAAAATAAAATAAAATATACCAACCACGAAAATATAACCTTAGATATACAGGGTGGTCCGAATTGTATTCCGGAAACTTCAGCAGCATATTCTGCAGATAAAAATAAGTAAAAAAGTTCGTATAAATGTATGTCCTAAAATGCTTAGTTTCGGAGATACAGGGTGTAGAAGTTTCATTTTTATTTCGATTTTTTCCAAATAATTTCTGAAGTAACGTCAATATTTGTATGAAAATTGGTATCTGGGAGTTTTGTGACACGAGGAATTTGATTTTGATGTTAAAATTACTCCTATTTATATTTAGAATGAAAATATTCAATACATGTCATTATTGACAAAAAATAAGCACACGTTGAGTATAGTTATTTGAGTGAAATAATAAATTTTTATTTTTTTAAATTAATCAAGTTTTTCTGTGAAAAAATGAAGACTAAACAGTTTCTTTTGAACTTTTGACAAAAAAGGATTTCAAATTTGTGATTTCAGTCTAATAACTATTTAGTCAACATGTTTAATTTATGTCAATGATGACAGGTATTGATAATTTCGATTCCAAATATCTCGAGAACCATTACTTGTAGCGATTTTTACCAAGAGACCTTTTTTATTTAAAAAAAAGTCGTAAATGTATATTTATTTACTCAGTAGTTTTATACAGGTACCGACGAAAAGTTATTACTCCAAACCAAAACAGTTAAAACACATATAGTGTGTTTTAAATGTTTTGATAATTTAAAAATTATTTAGAAACATACCAAAAGATAGAGAATGTATTTTTGCCAATTCTTTGATAATCATTTCGATATGATCGTGGTTCATCGTTAGTTTTCTGTCTTTCAAAAGAAACCCCTCGGCTTTCATGTTAACGAAAACCAAAAATTCTTCCTTATCGTCCAAACATGCTCCGTGAAACTTCGCAAAAGCACGCGTGATGCGGAAGATCTACATCATTCTGTATACTCAAAAAAGCAGGTATAACCTCTTTGTATATAAAAGCTTCTCTTTGATAGCATTTTGTTACCGGGAACTGTTTCCTTAACTCTTCATTGTTATCTGCGCACTTTATTATCAAAGGGCGCGTTCAGGGACGGTCAGCGGCTGAGTGGCTGAGTAAGCGGTTTCCCTAAACGGTCTCTTTTTACACGCAAAAACAGTCAGCCGCTGAGTAAAATACTCAGCGGTCGGTCAGCCGCTGTGTTCCCTGAACGCGCACAAAGATTTTTGTCTGTCTCCTTCCAAAATCTTCACAGAAAATATTATTCCCAGGTAGTTATCCACTTTCTTAGAGCGCCACCTACAAATGGGAGTCATATTGACATCAAAATCAAATTTCTCAGATCAAAAAACACCCATCCACCAATTTTCATCCAAATATTGACGTTACTTCAGAAATTATTTGGAAAAAATCGAAATAAAAATGAAACTTCTACACCCTGTATCTCCGAAACTAAGCATTTTAGGGCATACATTTATATACTCTGTTTTTTTTTCTCAGGTAAGATTTCGACAGACTATGACAGAAAAAAAGCACATGACTTCCATAATAATCC